CCAAAATTTTGCCGGTAGGTTCCCCGGCCAAGTACCACCTCAGGACCGCGGTACCAACCCTCACGGAAATCTGGGCTCCGCGTACGAGGGGGTGAAAGTTTTGGCAAGAAAATTGCTAACTCAGGAACCAGAAAAGCTAGGACGCTGAAATTTTAAGGTTATGTTCTCCGTCTCTATAGGACTCAAAGATCTCAAATTCAGCCCCCAGGCGTGCGTGGTTCTTGCGTATGGCCCCGTGAGGGTTCCTGGAGCGAAAATCGCTAACTCGGGAACCTGGAAAGCTGGAGAGTTAAAATTTTCAGGGAATGTTCCCAGCAGATGCACAACTTAAATTTAACAAAATCAGCCCCAGGCATCCGTGGTTATCACGTACGGCCCCGTGAATTTTTTTGGTGCGGAAGTGTATAACTGAGGAATCAAGAAAGCTGGGAGGCTAAAATTTTCAGTTAATGTTCCCAGCACAAGCACAACTTAAAATTATCAAATTCAGCCCCTCATTTCAAGTGGTTCTCACTTACGGCCCCGTGAATTTTTTTGGCGCGAGAATGACTAACTCGGGAACCAGAAAAGCCCGAAGGCTGAAATTTTCAGGGAATTTTCCCAACCCACATGCGACTTAAATTTGTCAAACTCAGCCGTCGGGCGTACGTGATTGTCGTGCACGGCTTCGTGAATGTTTTTGGTAAACTGCTAACTCAACAAGAAAATTTGGAAAGCTGAATTTTCACCGAAATGTCCCCTGTTCAAATACCGCATAGACAATTAACTTCCCAAACTTCGAGGATCAGTATATCACTCATTTCTAGCTACTGGGTTTCCGAGCGATCTCATTGCGGCTCGAAATATTGCAAAAACGCTTGATCGCACGGGCCCGCCTGGTGCGCGTCCCCAATGATTTATTGTTTCATTCGCAATTGAACGATCGATCAGCGGTAATTATTCTTTCCACTTCATGCAAAATTTATGGTAATCATTCATGCTACAGATTAGGACTTCACGGAGCCCCACGATGGAAGATGTTACCTTCCAAGCTGATGCCCTTTACTCCCGCATATAAGGAAGTGCCAAAACGCAGCCAGCACGATTACAAGTATTAATGTCTAAAGCAGAAAAACGCACAATCCATATGTCAACTTTGACTGTCTCAAGTTTAGCGCAAAGACTCATGCTTTTATCTACAACCCTAGCATGTTGTTACCAGGGATGGATTTATGCTTATAAACCAATTTCATTTCTAAGCACTTTCGCGTCACTAGTGCAAATAACAAGCGCATGTTGGAAATGGTTGATGTGTGCGCGTATGTGTGTGTATATTTGTGTAAGTATGTGTGTTTGTACTCTATCCGATCGCTAGATCCTGGCTCTGGACCGGCTAGTTTACGAGTTGCAAAATAATTCTGTATCATTTTAATCCAAGATTCGATGAGTTACTATTTTGAATTTTTGGAAGACTAACATTTTGAGTATCTCGAAGCAACATCAACTAACAAGCTCTGTTGCGTTGCTGATTTGGTACCTTAGGTGAAGTTCAGATCAATTTAACAGTTCAAAAAATAAAACAGTAACAAGCTTGAGGTTTGAAAGATTTGGTTATGCTTCAAGCCGCATTCCTGATTTATGGTCTCAGTTTGAAATTCAAACAATTTTTTCAACTCTCAAATGCAGTAGGCTTGGCACTTTGAGGTCGTAGTGTTTTTCTCATAAAACGATTTGACAAAAACAATTTACAGACATAACCGCTCTTTGATCTGCTGCAACAAACCCAAATGTAGAGGCTGTTTACTGGCTTATTCTGGCATGTGTTAGCTCATCTAACAAATGGGCACCACAACAGCTTACTGCAGAGCACATATTCGTAGGCTTCATGAGCACATGCGGCTGTTTTAATTATATTTGGACAAGACGTATAAAGCGCCTGTCCAAGAGACGAAACGAATATCCCGATCACCAATAGGTTGACTTCCAAGCCAAACAGCATCAATCAAAGCAACTATGGAAATGAGAAAGCTGCCAGCAGCATAAACGGAGAACCGTACTCTGACTAAAAGCATGTATCAAAATATGGAAGGGGTACTATGAATTTTATAAAATGGTAGGAAATCACAAATAAGCAGAAACTGGAGAAGACTAAATTTGCTTATTTTTACTCAAAAGCATTTTAGCCGTATGTGCGGTGAGAGTATCGTTCTTTCTTGGATTCTTCCTTTCAATAGTTCATATTTCAAAAAGAGAGGAAAAACTCACGACGCTTTTGATTTCCGGAAAAGTCGGGTGAAGGAGGAAAAATGAAAAAGGAGCAGGGGATACAGGAAGAAATCTCATATGCACACCAAAATTTTAGAAATAGGCTTGGCGGCTCTACAAGAACAGCTCAAGCCAAGCTCTTCAAATTTTGCAGTTGCTTTGGATTACCCTTACAATTGCTTTGAATTACATTTGCAGTTTAACTGCGAATGCGTTGTAGAAAACGAGGCTGGAGCACACCAGGCTTGCCGAGTGCGATCATACGTTTTTGCAGCGTGAAGCAGTCGGGCTGTTAACTGTATAAATGGTTGCTGCTTTACATTCAAATTGCATGAGCATTGCCGCAAATCATCACAAAACCCCTGTATAAAGGAAAACGAACAATCTCCATCGATCGGTCATTCACTAAAAATGACCTAGCTGTTTCTTCGCCAAAACTTTTACACGTCCGTACTTGAGAATCATGCATACCAGAAGGCTGAATTTGAAATCTTAAAGTTGTACGTGAATGGGGAATTTCCGCTTAAAATTTCAGCTTTCCAACTTTTCTGGTTTGCTAGCTAGCCATTTTTCCGCCAAAATTTTCGCGCGCTCATACGTGGAGCCTAGATGCGCATGAAGGTTGGCACCGCGTTCCTAGAATCACACGTAGGCAGGGAATCTAGTGATGAAATTTCAGCATCGAACTTGCGCGGTTGCCAAGTCGAAGTACCCGGACAGCCGAACAAACACATTCACACACAAATACACAAAAATACGCACACATACACAGAGACACCGCGGGTAGTGATAGTGTGCGTTTTCGCATTTGCATGCATACAAAAACGCATAACCAGTCTGAAATTGAAAGAGTACCTACCACATAGGTGATAGTTCCAATGATTAATTCGGCTGTGGGAGGACTTCTGGAATCGAAAACGCTTTGTTGGCGACGTTGTTGTGGTTGCTGATAAAGTGATAGCACTGAATTCGAATCAGAATCATTCGTTTTCAGACTGTTGATAGATGAATTAAGGAGCTGCTCTTGCAATGATAATATTTTACCAATAACCATCGGCAGCTGAGCTCTGCTTTCTGTCGTAGCTAACGTTACCGTTGCTGCTGACCTTTGATTCCAGAAAATCATTCTTTCACGTCAAAATTCAGAATTCAAAGTTGACTAGCAGAGCGGAGGAAAACAATCAACTATGCTGCACTGATGACTACTGGCCGCATCCAGAACATGCTGGGCTCAGGGCAAAACACGTAAATCGTCGGTCGCATTGACGAGCATGAAGTGACAGTTGTTTTATTTCTCATAGAAAAGCCATTTGCTTCTTTCGCAACATTTCCGCGAAAGTGCCAGCGCAATTAAAAAGAATGCCTTTTGCTTAAAATGCTTCTTGGCTAGCTGGCCGCTATTCAGCCTTACTGCATTCTGCCTCAGGGCTGGGCAGCAAGCGCCCGAAAGAGACAGCTCTCCTCTCTACACCTCTTTCATCCATTATGCAAAGTAATGGGCACCTTCTAGGTACAACCGAACACTTGTAGCAGGGGCAAAGTTTGGAGCTTATTTGAAAACGCCCGCGTTTTAGTATTCAGCCGTTGTTTTAAATGGACGCCTCCTCACCGACGTCCCTTTTTACATTCCTTTTTGTGAGAATGTCTCCGTACATTTCTGAATGCTGCTTAATGGAAGGCTGTTGGAAGCGAAAAAAAAGAGCCTTAAAAAGGGAATAAAGAAAAGACTGGTGAGGAAAAATTTGATTCAGTGCCAAACGCCACTAGTGCATGAAGCGATAGCGAGCACTTGTGAGAAAAAACAGCGCTTCTTTGTTTCGTAGAAATACTACAAGAAAAAAAAAACACACAAATAATTATTGAATGCGTTTTGGTTTTGAAATAAAATATGAAGATTATTAAAATTCCATAGACTTTCAGCGTATAATCTCTATAAAATTCGAACCCTGGGAAAATACTGTAAATATTATTCACTCCTTTTTAGCTTCTACAACAACAAAACCATTTTTCAAAATCCCCTTTTGTTTCCCTTTTTATGCGTTTTTGCTGTGCAGCGCTATAGCAGCGC